GTCTGTGAATTCCTGCAATGGAGTTTCAGTGTACTGGGAAACAGTCACTCAAAACATTAGCGAGATCCCTGTGACTTAATAATGCTTCACACAGCTATAGCCTGCGGAAAGAAAGGCTATCAGTACTTCACAGAGGAGGTCAAGCGTTTTCTCTTGAAGCCAGGGGACCTGAAGGGACTTGCCCAAGGTCACACAACGCCAAAGCCAGGGAGGAAACCCAGGAGGCCAACTCCTAAAGCATGTGAGAGGAAGGCATGGGAAAGCAGAAGGGAAAGAGAAAATAGAAGTGGAGGAAGAGGAAGACGACATGTAGACAAGTTCTATAGGTAGTCAGAGATTAAGCATGGCTAGAGAGATGAACATTGCAGCTTTATTATCCAGGGAATGACTGGGGTACACAGAGGCTACATGACTCGAATCTGAGAAACACCAGTCTGTACAAAAGCGGATGGCTTGGTAACAGGTGTGGGGGACCTCTGTTCTTCCCATCTCTTGTAAACGACGATAGGACAAGGTGACAATGCTGAAAACCACTAAGAGACGCTTCCACATGTAGCACAAACCATGAAACTCACAGCCGCAGGATATCAAGGGGAGGGGGAAAAAAAAATGGAGAAAGACTCCAGGAAAGATGAAAGAGATGCTGTGTGTCCTGGCTAGAAACATTTGCACAAGGTCTGAGAGCCCAGCAAGTTCCAGTGGGCTTAAAATATCCAGATCCCATGGAACCAGGGGTTCAATCCAAACAGGGACAACTCAACTCTTTATACCTAAGAGTTAATACCAACTTGCTCCCCTTTAACCAAGGGTCTCGCTGCACTATGTGCTCATGATTCCACTCCCACCCACATGAAGTAGGTAAGTAATATCTATAATCCTCATTCCTTTGGACATCACATGGAAATGTGGGGTCCTGCCTACTTCCCATGGATATTAAGGCTCAGTCTCCCTGAGAGCATGACCTGGCCTAAAACATCTCCTCTGCCTTGCAGCTTGGTAGCCTGCTGCCTTATAGTTGTCTGACTCAGCTCAGAAACGGCTGCGTTTTAGCAAGGCTATGCGAGTGCAAACTTTGCTAGGCAGGGTGGGATTCTTTTATGCCCTTCGAACCTGGGCAGAGGCACTGGAATCAGAGGCCTGCTTTCTCCCTTCCCCCTCAGAAAGGGGCTTGCAGAGTTTGTAAAACTTTGCCCTTTCCAAGGGACAATGGCTACAGTCCTGATTGTTCTGCCCATCTCCTCCCCTAGGAATCTAATCTCACAGCCTCCTCATTTTTATTTTTTTTATGGCACTCACCCCAGCCCAACCAACTGGCTCATTGTTAACAAGCGCGTCCAGCCAGGGAAGTGATTGATCACCAGGGAGAAAGGCCAAAGCCGTGACGGGTCGTTTAACAATTTCAATTAAACTCTGCACTGTTCAGACGCTGGAGGAGGAGAGGCAGCGATGGAGATGGAAATTAAAAAGAGGGACTGTTCTACTCCTGGTTAGACAGACAACCCCAATGGGGTTGACAAGGCATGGCCTGGGTTCTCCCCAGACACGTATGGTTTGAGGGAGAAACTCTCCCGCTGCAGAAGCAGCAATGGAAAAGGGCATCCTTATAATATCTTGCTGAGCCCTCCCCCGTCTAGCCACAGGATGGATGTGCTCTCACTTTTGCTTTTTTTTTTTTTTTCAGGGGAAACATTACCAATGCCCCCCCAAGGCCTTTCAATAATAGGTGCTGTGACCCATTTGTGCAGCCACATTTTCCAAGACATGCACCGACCAAGAAGATGCACGGTGAATATTAAGTGACGTGTCCCTGAAGTTCCTGCTGCCGGGACTGTGCTTGATTCTTGGTTACGTGCAGTGACTTTTTTTAGGCACAGGAGATCCCCGAGGGCTAATCACAGAGATGCGGCTCTGAATCCACTGAGACAGCAGAAGGACTCTTAGAGGGATTTAAAAGAGAAAAAAAATCAGCATCTCAGTCTGTCATACAGAAGGGCGCTTTAATGAGCAGCAAATGCAGTGAAAGTTCTGCTCAGATGGCATCGTACCCAGGAAGAAAGCAAGAAAGGGAGAAATCACAAGTGATAGGGAGCAGAAGCCTTCTCTGCTGAAGCAGTTGAGCTTCATGTAGCTGTGGGAACTTCCTACCAATCTATCCAGCCAGCCACTTTGCTTGGGGCTGAATCCCCCCAGACCGGCAGCAAGGGAAGTGGCAAAGGCAGAGCAAGGTTAGCATACACATTTTCCAATTACAGTGGATTGAGACAGAGTCACCAGGTGACTCAGGTACTAGGGTGGAGAAGGACAAGCCAACCTAACTCCACCCCTCCCAGCACGAGGCTGCTCTTGCTCCATCGCACATTATGCCCCTTTAAAGCCAGCAGCACCAGTTCCTACCTCACCATTTTCTCTGTATGCTGCTTGCTCTACGTACAGGAATCAGGGCTGTCCCGATTCTCAGCCCTTCCTCATCTCCACTTTACTGGGGGATGCTGTCAGAAAGCCAGATATCTTTCTCGCCTCTCTCTCTTGAGAGCACAGACCTAGTTTCTCCAAACCCTCAGAATAACCCGTGTCATTCAGGTCAGCCCTGCAATGCAACCTTCTTCTTTTCCTTGAGACGAGTTGGCCTGGAATCAGGATGCCCCACGTGGGGCTCTGCTCAGACGTTGTCCTGGCCTGCAAGTTCTCCCTCACTTGTAGTCCACACCACTGTGCAAGGTGCAAAAATGTTTTGGGCCCTTCAGCCCGGTGTTATGGATTCTAAGGGTTTTGGCCTTGTTCTGCCCCCAGCCTCGTTCTCCCAGTTCCAGATTTGCAATGTCTGACCCAGCAAAGTAGATCCCCTTGTTTTTATAATCCCCAGCCTCACTCCCCTGGATTTCCTGGCACCAAGCACGCAGCCCTGAGCAGCTCCTTGTCTTGCCAAGTCACTCTCAGTTATCCCTCCCCCCACAAACTTTTTCTCCTACGAAGCTTTCACATGAATTCTTTTGCATGCGCAAGGAGTGCCAAATGCACAGACCTGGCAGCTGGAGTCTTGTGTTCACAGCACACGCAGCAGGAGGGCGAGAGCTTCCTCCACGCTGTGCCTTGACCTGGTCTAGGGCAGACTACCTCCTGGACCGAACAGGCGGATGTAGATCCCTGGCCCAGTCCATCCTCAGCTCCTCTGCAGAGAGCACTGTGTAGCGTGCAGGTGATGGTGGTGGGTTTTTGATGCAAATCCCTTTCTAGGGGGACCGGATCCAAGACCTTCTTTCCCAGTATTGACTTTCCTCTTTTCTTCTCCCATTCCCCTCAGATGACCTCAGCATCCAGCTTAAATGCATATTCTTTCAGGTCAGGAAAAGGGGAGCCTTTTATAAAAGGAACCTTAAAGAAGATTTCAGCAGGATGGCTCTGCAGATCCAGCGCAGTTTCTTTACCCCCTTCTCCTCCACAATCAACCCAGGCCATTGAAGTTGGAGACACTAGAAGTCAGGCATTGGCTCAGATCTCTCACGTGCTTTCTTTAGACTGTCGTGTTTTACTTATTCACACTAATGGCTTCCTTATTCACACAGTAGATTAGCTTGGGTTGTTTTCCACTCTCCCTCCCCTGGCTTCTGTTGACTTTCCTGTGAGCTGTTCCTTTAGCTAGCTCCATCTCTCTTCTCCTAATCCAACACACCACTGTCCTCAGATGCTTGGGATGTGACCCATCTCCCACACTCAAGTCCCATCTGCTTCAGGAAGAGCCTCACAACTAGTAAGGACCTGAATCAGGGATAGGACACCTTCAGGGCCTCAATTTTATCACAGGGGTTGCTGTTTTAACGAAGCTCACACTCTCCCCAACTCCTTTTACTCCAATTCTTTTCCTACCAGATCTCTGATCTAGAGGAGCTGATAGGCATCCCCTTGCCACCCTGTCCCTTTATTTCTCCAGTTCCTCAAACATCAGAAACTTCCAGTCTGTCTGTCTCCACGTTACGGGGGCCAGAACTCACAGGGCTGCTCTCCGCTCCTCACCAGGTCACGATCTCTCATGCCCTCGTCTCTGCAGAGTTTATACATGGTCAAAGCAATTCTGACTGGGGCACTCCATTCCTGCCAGCACCACCTGCCCTTTGCCGTGTCTGGATCATGCCTTCCTTCATATGAAGGGACATGGCTAAGTCCCTCCCTCTCCCAGTGATCTGGCTTTCCTGTGCCTCGGTTGCACACAGCAACCCAGCTCTCACCTGCTTTTTCCACTGCCACCTCCACATTTCCTCCCAGAGCTTTTCAACCCCTCAAAGGCTGCACAGCCCACCCACTAGGATTCTGTGCAACAAGCTAACAATGCACGCGCATAACTGCTGCCTCCATCGACCCCGACATATCTTCACCGCAGCGATAGGGTCTCTCCTTTTATCACAGCCTGGCCAGCATCCAGTCTTAAATCTAGACCTGGCCTTAAGCCTATTCTGACTTCAGTCCTGCAGTTGATCTTTCAGAATATACATGGAAGAGAAGGATCTGACTGAAGGGTTAAACATTACCAGACTGAGAGTCTGAATCTCAAGGCCTGACAATTGGTTCCAGTTGACTGGCTTGCCTGGTAATTTTTCACAAGATAAATACAACCAGGAATGAGTGGTAATAACTGAAGGACCCTTCACAGCAGCAGCCCCCCCGCTACTCCCCTTCTGCTTTCTTTCCTTTCAATATCCCCCCACCCTCCAGCCCAAAGGCTGCCACCAGCATCATTTATCAGTTGATCTGAAATCCTCAGCCTCTAACTACCGAGTAACCAGCATGGTGGGATACCGGAGCCAGTATTCACAATGCCAACATGTGAACAGGGTACAATCCATGCCCAGGGCACCAGGATTGGGACTGGGATTTACACTTCCTCCCCCTCCCCAAGACCCTCAGCAAGCATTAAATTCACAGCAGCTTGGAAGAGGGGCAGCAAGCAGCAGTGCCCACATCTTAGCTCCCCGCTGCTGTGTAAAGAGGCAGGCAAGGGTACTCACTGCTCTTGGAGGCTTTGACCTTGGCCACCAGTTTCTGCACACCAGGCACATCCCCATTTTTCACAGCCTGGATCATCTCCTGCTCTCGCCCCATCATGGACAAGTCAGAGCGTCGGCACAGCAAAAGGAAGAAGTCCTCCAATCCCTCAGATTTATACAGCCATGCGTGTGTGTGCGCAACTCCGCAAAGCACACTCGAATGGAGGGAAAAACCCAGCAAAGGAGATAGTTAAAGTTTCCACGGGACATAAAAAAAAAAGAAGTCTTGAAGAAGAGTGCTCTGCTAATGACAACAACCGCAGCCAGGAGTCACTTTCCTTTTAAGGGGAACAGAGACCGAGATGCAGTCTGGTTCAGGAACAAGCAATCAATTAAACAAAAAAATAGTTCAGTGCTTGGGGACTGACTCCCGGCAGCAACAGGGCCCTGTGAGACAAAGCCAGGCAGCCCGGAGGAGGGGGCCAGGAGAGTTTGCCCTCTTAACTGAACATGCGTAAAGCTCCCAGAGACAAAGGTGTCATGTTTTGCTTCCCTCACTAGGCCGGACCGCGCTGCTAAGCCCCCAGTCCTTCCCGAAGGGATTAGTGGCTCCTTTCCATCTGGAAGTTATAGATCCTCTCGCTCTCGTGCTGGTCCGTGTTATCCCCCTCGTTCCGGCATTCCTCACCGTTGCGTCTCTGCCAGCCCCTGCTCTCTGGCCTGCAATCTCAGAGCCTCGCTGGCAGAGCCCTTGGGGAGAGGCTGGAGCAGCGTTCCCAGTACCTGCGAACGTGAACGACAGAGTCAGATTTCAAAGGCTATTTACTTTGCCTGACTGTGAAAGCCCTCCGCTTTTGCATCCATGGTAAAGAATAACTACTTGGACTATATTTAGTAGGAGCAGGAGCTCGGCCATTCCCACATTAACAGGGCTGGAGGAAGGACCTGCACCAGGAGTGTCCTCATAATAGGTGCTGTGACCCAGCTTAGGGGACATAATGACCAGTCGAGTTTTAAGATGTTCCCAATTATGGAGCGTCCAGCCCTTTCCTGGGGAAGCCGTTGCTAGGGGCCATTTACAATGACTCCATTTCAGCCTCCGGTCCTAGTTAGACCCACTTGGACCACACTGAATGTTTCCGCTCCCCTCGCGCTGTGCCAACGTGCATACCAGCCCTCGAAATTAATTGGGAAGCTCCAGCGCGCTGGGATTTGAGGGCTTCTGATTAAGGTTATTAGCACACGAGCATTGTCAGGCTGATCATTCTCTCAGGTAATGAGCTGAATGCAAGCTGGCAGCATGATGATACTCAGAGGAGCAAGGGGGATCAAACTTCACTCAGCCCCCAGCAAGCCAGATGCCTGCTGGCTGACTGGGTCTCCATCCAGCTGCAGAGGGCCCTTGGAAAGAGGGCAGAGGTCTCATTTCACATACTGGGCTTTCCCCCTAAACCCTTCCACTGTGGGAGCCCCATCACACTCACTTTTACCCCCTAGCACATTGCCTCACTAGAGGGCCTCCCCACTTCTTCTTCTCTCTGAATTCACACTAGCCTAACACCAAGATTTTAGGATTGCACTCTGGACATTTCCAGACCTCGCCCAGGTTCCAGCTTCTTTCTCCCCGCTCACAAAACCATGAGAAAAAGAGCATGGAAGAGCATATAAGGAAGTTTCATACAAGCTGACATCAAATAGCAACACTTCTCCACTAGTTCTGATCTAGGCCAGATTAGAGCCCATGATCTAGGGGAAAAGGCTCTGGTTTCCACCCCTAGTCACTTGGGCCATGCCCTCCTCTTTGATCTCCCTTTCCTAAAGCTCTTGAGAAGCATCCTCAGCTGTTTATACAGTGCTGGGTGTTGTTTCCTCTAAGCAATTGGAGGTCGCTGCTTGACAAGACAAGCTGAAACCATGGGAAGAGAAAGGGGAACTATCAGAATGATCTCTCTTCTCCATCCTGCTGGAAACTGGACTGCACAGCAGTGACCCACACACCCTGGGTCCATCTAGTTCCAGAACGGCACCTCCCAGGGCTTTCGCAGAGCCAGGCCACATCTCAGGTGCTCCCTGGATGCAGTAGGACCTGCACACTGAAGAGGCAGGATGGGGAGAGAAACTATTTTGCACCTTAGCCCCAGCCCCCTTATACGTTCAGGATAACTAACCCCTGGAAAAAAGTTATCTAGGGACAGCTGCTGAGCTGCCAAACCCCAGAGATTAGGAGACAGGACAATGTCCTTCCCTGCCACTTGAAAGCCAACCCACTTTTTTGTGTCAACGGGGCCACATTTGCCCAGGCACTCAGGGAAAGACATGGGATCTCCCTGGGCAGGCCTTGGGTTTAGCAGAGCTGTTGAGGTCCTGGGCAGCCCGGTTTCTCTGGATTTGCACACCAGAAGTGGGGAAGATGGCATCCATTCAGGTTTCCTGTCGCTTCCCCACTTCCATCAATGCCAAGCCAGGCCTCTCTTAGTTACCGAGTTAAATTCAAACTACAACCGCTCGGCTCAGCTCTAATGCTCGAGTCCATCCTCCTGGAGACTTGCCTCACACAAACATTACAGCGACTCGAGCAATCCCCTTCCGGAGTCTCACTGATTGCACCGGCTGAAAAGCCACTTTGTTTCATTCCCATTCACCGGCTTTCTCCAGCCTCACTTCAGAGACCAAAAACGTGAGCACTGGAGCAGTTTCAAGAGTCAGATCGACCAAGACGGGGAAACTGCCTGATCCCCGAACACAGCTTCCGACTCCACTTGCATGCAGGACTCCGCCAAGCAACTCCCGAGCGTCCGCCATGCTGTGCAACAAAGTGTTAACCGTCCGCGCCTCCAGCAGCCTCGGAGGTAATCCTCCTCTCTCCCTCCTCTCCCAGCCCAATTCGTGCCCACTGGCAACGGTCTGGAATGCGCCCCGCTGCCGCTTCGACGGCAACCAGCAGCCCCCCCGCCGCGCCGCGCCGACCCCGGCTGCCCACTCAGGAATTCACCTGGAGGACGCAGGTATCCGAAATATTCCCTCACCAAATAACTTGAAGCAAAGAGCGGTGGAGAGGAGTTGAGTTACAGAAGGGGAGAACAAGGATGCTGGACAGCTATAAAGCCAGCCCAGTCTGCTGGAGGGGGGAAGCTGCCCTCAGAAAGGCAAAGAAATGGAAGCTATTGCCATCCGAGCCCTAAACACCTCGCAGAGAGGCATCTCCGCCAGGCACCGGGCAGGAGGCCACATCCGACCTCTTCAGGGCAGGCCCTCAGCCCATTGCCCAGCAGGGGAAAGCTGAGGTGGGGATGGTCAAGGCGCCGCCTGGCTCGAGGCCATGAGGGAGCTCGGGTTTTGGGAGGGAAAAGGGGAATCCTGAGGGGGCAGAAGGGAGAGGGGTGACTGGAACCGCTTCAGTCCGGATTGAGGCGGCGGCGGCGGCGCGACGTCGCGCTCCCAGGGCTCGAACCCGCGCGGCGGCGCCGGAGGCTGAGCTGGAGCGCGCGGGGCTGAGCCCGGAGGAGGGGCCACCCGCCAGGCGACTGCCCCAAGAAGGAGAAGGAGGAAAGTCGGGCTCGGGCGGCCGCGCCTCCCGCCTTCCCGCGCCGGCTCCTTCTTCCTCTCGGTCCCGGTCCCACTCACCTCCTCGGCTCCCCCCGGCCGGCGGCGCTGCAAGCCCGGTGCCTCCGCGGC